TTTTTGCATAATTTGTAACAAGATATTTTATGTTTTTGGAAATCGACCAATTATCTTGACGTATATTATTCATTTCTAATACTCCATTTTGAGTCTTTTTGATTGAACACCAAAGACAAAAATCTTCACTATTTGCAGCCTTATAACCCTGACAAATGCTTAGAAATTTCCAATCCGCAGATAAATAAAATATAATATTCCAATGATTACCAGCTAAATCGAAAAAACCATTTTGAATTTCTTTTAATTCAGTAATTAAGAATGACAGAGCTGATTTTAAAATATTATATGATTCATCACCAGGATATAAAAGTAAAACAAAGTGATGATCAGAATAATGAATATTGCTTTTATCATTAAGAATTGCGAAAGTAATCATAACATGTTTAATTTTTCGTCCCACATTTCTACCATCACCAGAGATTCGTATATGTATAATTGGATCTAATAATGATAATATATTTTGTTATAATAAAGTTGGAATTATGAATAAAAGAATTTTCTTTATAGATCGTATAGCACCTTTTCTGATTGAAGTTATCATTTCATCAATAATTTCTTGTTCATCAATATCAATTATTGAATTATTGTTATTTTCACATAATGAATCTAAATTAATAAACTGAATTGGTATATCTATCATCATTTTTTTATCTAATCTTAATTTTTGATCTGAAATTGCCTATTCTCGTGGAAGATTATGACTAATCCAGGCCAAAGATCGATAAGCTGCTCGGGAAATCAAATTTTTATCCATTGCTTTAATAACTGCAAGTTGCTGTAATTCTTGATTATTCTTATCATATATAACTCTAAATTTATTATTATTAACATTAAATGCCAATTCTTTAAGTTTAACCTGATCAATTTTATTAAAATGCTGTTGAGCACGTGTTTCAAAATCTTGAAATATATTGACACCTATATTTTTTCCTCGATTTATTTGCATCCTATTACTAAGATTATCAAAAGGTTTTAATAATCGGCCTTGTGCTTTTTTTTCACAAAATTCTCTAATTTGTCTTAATTGAAAACCAAAAAGAAAAATTCCATTTATTTTGCTTTTAGGAATTAAACTCTACAAAATAAAGATTTGTTTTAAATAATATCATATATATATTTAATTATTTTAAATATATCAATAATTACAAATTTAAATACCTTAGAACTAGCTTTTTTAGCTTTTTTTTCATTATATACCGTTATATAAGCATTTGCTACAGTAGTAGCTGATAAATTTGAGCATACAAAATCATCAGGATCAGACCCAAAAATAATCTTAAAATGCAGTCTGTTGGCTATATATTCGACAAAACAAGTTATAGTAATTTTTGATTTTCCATAAGTTGTTTTAACTATATACTTGTCAGGAATAGGAAATGCGTTTGGTTTTAAAGTTCTTGCTAAATAAG